AGGGTCAATCTTCAAAAAAAAAAAAAAAACAAGTTCATTGCTACTGCATGAGATGACCTACCACATCTTCTTGTTTTATATCAAAAACCACTAAGAAGCAATGGTTTTTTCCTCATGTTTCATATTGACACATGTAGATCTAAATTTTAAAATGCGTAACACTCAGGAGAGCCAAAGTCAAGTTTCCTCCAGAGCCATCAGTACCCTTTTGCCCATCACAGCACCTCCCAAAAATTCCCCCACCAGTTAACTGGGCAAGTCTGAAACTCCTATAATTCCCAAGCCTGACTGAGGATCTTAGGCTAGACCCCCATGGCTTCCTAGAGCCAAACTCAATCCCCAAGAATAACTTCCAAGCATAACTCATACCAGAGAATGTGTAAGCCTCCATACCAGAGTTCCTGGAGAAGGGATGTGACAGGACCCTGCTTAACAATAGAAATAGAAGGAACATGTTATAAATGTTTAAGCTCTGCGTACTGGCTTATCATTTCTCACCTTTCCAAAAGACTCTATAGAGCCTTATCTGAAGAGAAGGAGTGCGCAGTGTACATGGTTTGGGAGTAATCAGACACTGAGAGATCCAGAGGTCTCTGCCCTTTCCAGGTGCTTGTCTAACATCAGCGTAATCTGAATGGACCAGCACAATGGAATGCCTTCAGGACTAAGGCTAGGCAAATCCCAGGAAAAGATGGTGTTTGTCTTCAGCACCCTTCCACTTTCTCTTCTTTGCTCTCCCTCACCCCTCCTCTCCTCTCATCCCCGAGTCCTGGCATTCAGGAGCCCAGAACCTGTATGCTTTTGAAACCCACATGCAACATCCTGAGGCCACGACAGCATCCCAAGATGGCTGTCCCCCTCCCACCAGCCCCCTCTATCATCAAAGCTTACCAATTCGTTTCCGTTCTCTCAATGCCCAAGACTGCCTGGAATTGGCCCTTGATGAGTTAAATCTAAAGGACTAATTCTGAAATTTTCAGGCACTCTATTAGGCAGGAGAAATATACTCATCCAGGAGGACCCCAGCTTCTCACATGGGTCTTTACTTCATATACTCATAAGGCTAGTTTTTGCCTGGAAAGGGAAAATCATTGGTGCCTTCCCATTGCTGGGATGGAGTTGGACCCTCAGAGCCTTGCATTTGCAGAGCTCTGTGTACATGCCTCAGTGGCCCTCCATCTGGCATTGCCAGTCTTCCCTAAAGCCGTAGCAGTGAAATGGCCAATCCAGACTCTAGACCTCCAACACCTTAACATATGCTGATTCTAGAGTTCCATGAGAGATTACAAGATCACACACTGGGTGACACAGTCAGAAAGACTAAAGCAACAACTTACAGCTAACTGAAGCTCTCTGCTATGGAATCAGTTAGCTCCAAAGTGTAATCACTGATTTCCGGGAGCTTCCATCTAGCATCGGATGCTCAAAGAAGACTTGGGGGAGCAGTTTCTGTCTATTTGAGAGGATGAAGGGAAAGGTTGCTCTGGTTTTGTTTCATTGGGAAGACAATTATCCACTGGAAAAACTAGAAAACATGGTTTTTACTCTTTGCCTCAGTGTCTCATCTCCATCGATTATGTTATCCCTTGAGTTATTAAGCATTTTGAAAAAATGACAAACAGGAGGGTTTAGTTTTTAAAGCGGAGAAACAGTCTCAAAATAGTGGGTAACATAATCAGTAATACAAGTTTCATTTCAATTTTCACAGGTTTATAAATAAATTGAGTAAGCCAATGTAAAAACATTAAAATATTCTCAAATATTTTATTTTTTTAAGCACTAATTTTCAATTAAGTCAAGGTTTATCTCAACTCCACATTAAATGAAATTTCTTTGTTCCACTAGTGGCTGTGTTTGATGCTGATCCCCAGCACCCCTCTTGTTTTCCTCCAGGGAGATTCTGGAAGCCCGCTGATATGTGAGGGTACTTTCAGAGGTGTCACTGCCTTTGGCCTTCCAGGGAAATGTGGAGACCCTCGAGGACCTGGCATCTATAGTCTTCTCTCAAAAAAACACCTCAACTGGATAATTAAGACTATGCAGGGGGCAGTTTAGATAACTGCATTTCACTTTACTGCTGTCACTTCTTAATCTTATCATAAATAAAATCAGTTTGTATGACTGTTCTCGTTTCTCTCCTATAACTTTAGTGGGTAGATCTCCACCAGCAAAGTGAGGCAGAGTAAAATAGTGACCTCATGGATGATGCAAGGGGGAGATTAGGGGACCATTGTCACCAATGTCATCCACGTGTCAAGTGACATGCTAATTTTGCTTGAATTATTCACTTCACTCTCTCATTGGGACCCAGCAGGAGTGACACTAAGGTCAGTCTGTCTAGTAACCAATACAGTGAAGACCTCAGCAATTCTGCAGGAAACAAAAACAGCCAGTCTGGAGCATTTGGGTTAAAAGGAAACAAGTTCACCCTTCAAAGGCCATTGTTCCACATCAACATCTGCTATTCAGATTTACATGCAAGAACCTGAGTCTATGGGAGAAATAGAAACAGGAAATGCCTTAGAGTATTTTCCAAAGGCAGATGAGAAATAGAAATTAAAATTCTAGGGGATATAAATGGAGCATTTGGCCAGCTCAGAAAATTATGTAACAGAAAGTCAGCCTCCTTTCTCAGTAGTTTGCATTTAAGCCTTGGATTATCTAGGTGATTTCTTGGTTCTCCTTGTCCCTGACCCTGTGTAGGTCCAATCAACATGGTCGCTGCCATAGTAGGGAGTGAGTGTTGAATTGTGGCCAGAAAGTTTCCTTTGGAAAAAACCCCCTGATGTTTATTCAGCATATTGAACTTAATGGATAGTCATCAGCCCAGTAGCCACTTCAAGATGTGATTATGCGAACAGATTCCTCTGATTCCCATCAGTTCCTTTAGGAGTATAAATTGTGTGTGTGAGTGTGTGTGTGTGTCTACCACACACACAATGTATATCCAAACCAAGAACGTACAACACTGAGACAGTATCTTAAAACAAAGGAAGAAGCAGAGCTTAAAGACTGACCAAAAGACTAGCATACTGGATTTCGACTACGGCTCACCAGACTCTTTAAAATTACCAGGCCCTGGCCCCACCTCTAGAAATTTTTATTTAATTGGTATTCAGTGGGACCCAGGACATAGCATTCTTTACATAAGCAGTGCAATGATTCTAACATGCAGCTAGAGATGAGAACCTCTATACTAGAAAGTAAGACCTGGTGCTAATATCTAAAAGAGAAGCTCTAAAAAAGTCATTAGGATGATATTCTACATACCCACTATAATCCCTAATTCCTAGTTAGGATTTTAACAGCAATAAGAGGATGTAATATTCCCTACTGGCAACATTTGTTACAAGTTTTGAAGTCCACTTATGAAGTAGTTGTATGGAAACCTTGTTCACTGCTGGTGGAAGTGGTACAACTAGTACAACTTCTTGGGAAAACTGGCAGTGTCTATTAAAACTGAATGTACACACACCCTACGGCCTAACAGTTCCACTCCTGGCTATATACCAAACAGAAATGAGTGCTTGTTTCCACAAAAGATGTGGTTGAGAATGTGCATAGGAGCTTTATTCTTTAAAGTCAAAATTGAAAGTAACTCAAATATCTATCCACAATAAAATGGACAAACAATGAAAAAGAACAAACTACAGTTACATGCAACAACATAATTTAATCTTACGCACTTAATGCTTAGTGAAAAAAGCCAGACAAACAAGAGCATATACTGTATGATTCCATTTATCTGAATGTTGACATAAGGTGAAACTACTCCATGGTGATAGAGGTCAGAATAATAGAGGGGTGTTGACTGGGAGTCTTTTAGGGTACCAGAAATGTTCATATTTTGATCTGGAAAGTGGTTACACACAGTTATCTATTCATAAATTAAAACTCATCAAGCTATACACTTAAGACTTACGTACTTTCCTATATGTGAATTATCACTCAATAAAAATTTTAAATTACAAAACTAAAAAATCAGTTGTACAAAGGCTTCTGTTTTATGTGTTATCTATAAGTTCACTTTTTTTCTTTACTAAAACCATATCCCAGACTTCCCACCAAAATGAACAGCAGGTAAAAGATACATTGCTATCTTTCTTAAATGTGAGCCTGTTGTCACACACCAGTATTAACTGAGAGAAGTGATCTTTAGTAATGACATAGTGTCATAAGACTGTTAAGACAGAAGTACCCAGATCAGAATGATGGGGAACACTGGAAATGGTCTGATCATTTTGCTCATTTCCCTGCTAACTATTTTCTTATAGTTTATAGCTAATTAAGAAGAAGATGAAATTAAACCATTAGCTTAAAGACAAAGAATGTGTATTGCAGAAAAGTATAATATTTGCAGCTTTTGGTGACCTAAAAATTTTCTAAGGCAAGAATTACTAGCACTACCAAGCAGATTTTCTGAGTTAAAAAACAGAAAAAATAAAAGAATATATTGGCAAGTTAACACTAATTTGACAGGAGAGTCCTAACTCCCCTTGTATATACCATTCCACTTTTCGATTATTAAAGCTTTTGTTTTATTTTATGGGGGGTGGTTTTTGGTGGGGCAATGGGGGTTAGGGGAGTATGTATGTATTGCTAAAAAACATTTTATGACAAAGAAAACAAATCAATCAATATTGTTATCTGACATATGCAAAACATTCCAAGGGGCACTAAAAAGTCTATTATAGGGGGCCGGGCCGGTGGCGCAGTGGTTAAGTTCACACGTTCCACTTCTCCGTGGCCCGGGGCTCACCAGTTCGGCACACCATGCTGTGGTAGGCGTCCCACATAGAAAGTAGAGGAAGATGGGCACAGATGTTAGCTCAGGGCCAGTCTTCCTCAGCAAAAAGAGGAAGATTGGCAGTAGTTAGCTCAGGGCTAATCTTCCTCAAAAGAAAATGTCTATTATAAGCTCCCTCAACTCCTCAATTTAATTGTCCAGGGGAGAAATAAACACATTAAAACTAAAATAACCAAAGATTCACACAGTAATAAAAGATTTAAAAAACAACTAGAATAGTTTATTAATACCAAATAGGTGATACCAACTGATGTCAAGAGTTCAAACCCAGGTAACAGCATTTCAAAACACTTCCTGGAGAGATTAGGACCTATGTGGCTAAGCAAAGGAAAGGCAGAGAGGAGCATGAATTCCAGACAAGAAGAAAAACTTCAACAAAGGCACCAAGGCAGGAAATCACAAGGCTTAGCCCAGGGCAAATGTAGGAGATGAGTGGGAATTAATCTTAAAAAGACAGAACAGTGGACTGAAAAGCTTGAAGAAAGCTTAGCAGTTATCAAATCCTAATTCCTATTCTTGCAAATGTTGTGACACATTCAAGGTCAGTTAGTCAGTTTATGACAAAGCCGAGGCAAGAACAGTCCCCCAACTTCAGGTTCTGGGCTCAGGACTCCAAGGTTGAGGCCAAGGGGTTTAGGAAATAGAGAGTCATTGAGAGTTTATGAGCAGGGGACTGACAGGATCAGCACAGTGCTTTTAGAAATTTGACCCAACAGTAGTGTGAGATCCATGAAGACTGAAGGCAGGAAAACCAGTTAGAAGACAATTATAACAGACTAGGCATCAGGTATTCAAGACATGACTGGTGTGAACAAAAGAAAAGAGAACAGGGATAAACTGAGAAAGCATGGAACAGAATAATCAGGAGATTCCCTGATAGGGGAGGATATCCTTGACCGGGATAAGGATGAGACCATGAAGAGGGAAAAGAGAGTCCTAAAGAGGAGCTCATTTTGAGAGGAAATAATATGGATGCTTAACACACTGCCTAGCAAATTATAGGATTTTAATCAACATTTTTCAAGTGAACAAGTTGTGTCTTTAAGGCATTGAGTTTGAGCTAAAGAGAGGGAAAGGATCTCAAACAGGAAATATCCAGAGGCAGACCAAAATAGATGGCAGGAGCTTGGGAGAAAAGTCAAGTGGGAAAGAAGTATTTAGAAATCTATGCTATACATACTATTCTGACTATAGCAGTGAAAATGCATCTCTAACAAGGAAGAGATAGAGAGAGAAGAATAATAAAAAGGAGGAGAAGGAGGAAAGTAGAGAGAGAAGAATGGAAGGTCAAAGACAATGTCTGGGAAACACAATGGGAGGAAGCAGAGCAAATAAAGTAACCAGAGAAAGAAGGTCAGGAGGACAGAAATTCACCTCAGGAAAAGCACTTCATCTTGTTTGGTCCTGACAACAACTCCATGGAGAAGGCAAGGCCAATATTATTCTCACTTAGAAACAAGGAAACTGAAGCTCAGAGGGGCAGAGTGGCTAGCAGCAATTCCACACACAGGCTGTGCCATCAGCTGCAGCAGAAAACACTCGGGTCTGGTCCGGACTCAACGCCAAGTGCAGTACTCTGCCTCTGTGGCCTGTGGGAAGAAGGAAACACAGCTCATGTTCCGCATTACAGGTGCTATTGATGAGGACTGGGGAGCAACCTAAGGTGGGGCCACAAATCCCATCCAGGATAAAGGGCTTCTTCGAAACCTGCCACCTTCAGAGCTGGCACTCCTACTGCGCCTTTGCTGTGGTAAACACCAGTCAGGGCTGACTCTGGGCAACATCCTAATGTGGCTGAGGTTTTGCTTCAGGGTTTCCTCTTCAGGGCTCTTCCCCCTTGTATTAGTCTCTAAGATGGCCATAACAAATTACCACAAACTACCCGGCTTGAAACAACTGAAATTTATTTTCTCACAGTTCCGGAGACCAGAAGTCCAAAATCAAGGATTTGGCAGGGCTGGCTCCCTCCGGAAGCTCTAGGGGAGATTCTGTTCCTTGCCTCTTCCAGCTTCTGGCAGCTGTTGGAAGTCCTAGATTTGTGGCCACATTACTCCAGTCTCTGCTTCCACGGTCACATCACCTCCTCTTCTGTGCATCTGCTCTCCTCTGTGTTTCTCTTATAAGGACACTTGTCATTGGATTTTGGGCCCATCTAGATAATCCAGGATGATTTTATCTCAAGATCTTTAACATAATTACATCTGCAAAGACCCTTTTTCCAAATAAGGTCATATTCACAAGTTCCAGGAATTTGACGTGGATATCTTTCGGGAGACCATTTTTTAGCCCACCACACCCCTCATACCCCACATCATCATTAGTTCTATGTTCTTGAATTCACCAACACCCAGGAATTGCCATTGCTGTGCTCCTGCCACCCACCCCATCCTTCTTCCTATCCTCCCCCAAAGTCAACCCCTTGGGACCTAGGTTTCAAGACACTAATCAATAAACTGATGCAACTTAATGGAAAAGGACCCAAAAAGCTCTCCCACACAGCACACATGAGTCTTACTTATGGAATTCTAGAGACAATACCCTCTTTCTGTTATCTAACTGAATAATGGTCAAACCGAGAAATGTTTGGTCATTTCTCAAAGAACATTCTGTGGAAAACAGTTCTATATGAGGTTAATAGGTATTAAAAATGAAAAGAGTACATAATATTCATATTAATTTGGGAGCTCCAGGCTAAGAAAATTAAACAGGATTCCTTATTTCAACACTGCTATATGCATTACAAATATTTGGGAGAAGGGGCTATAACAGGCAGCATTTCTGAAACTTATGTGGCCAGAGTCCTTTTGACTTGAGCCTCTCAGCGACTAGTGTTCCTTGGAAAATACTTTGCAAAACCTATCCTAACCCAACAGTGACTTTAACAATCAAAACTTCAGGCCAGAGTAGGGGAAGTGGAGTCCATGAAAAGAGACTGGGGCTGGGAGAATGGAGGGAAGGAGGGAAATTGGATAAGTTTTTGAATGGGTAGGTATTGGAGGGCACAACTAAAATCAAACTACGTGGGTGGTCACCTCCTCCTAGGACCAGTACTGCTTACAACTCAACTGAGAGCTAGAATTGCAGAAATAATCTTGTGCTCTGACACAGGATTCTCAGAAGCAAGTACTGCATATACCCTATTCCACTCCCAAAGGAGAAGTATCTTCAACACTTGGGGCTTTTTCCATCTACACACATCACTTCCAATGCTCTCATTCATGCACACACGCACACACACACACATATAGAGAAGCGTCCCCAAGGGACCCTGGGTGTGTCAGCACCTTAAAAAGTTTACATTGCATACATTGATACATTGCAGCCCCCTTATTTTAAAGGTGAAGAGAAAATTTAAGAATATCAAATGCCTTGCCCAAGATCACATCACTAATAAGTGGCAGAGCCAGAAGTAGAATCAAATTCAATGCTCTAACCATTTAGACCACACTCCAATCCCACAGCAAAGAAGAATCTCTTTTTCTATAAGAGGCCACTGTCCATTATTTTTTTAAAAATTAAGGCAATATAAATGAAAAGCAACTTAATTTAGTTAGGATAAATATAAAACATTACACTAATGCTTTTAAATTAAACTGAAGGAAAATCTATTCAATAAATATAACAGGTGATAAACATGCTGTCATTCTTTATTATGATGTGTTAAGATGAAAAAGAAGGAAGAAGACAAAATGGAGAAAGGAATAGCAGAGGAAAAAAATCCCAAATCTTTTCCAATGCAGGCTTTGAAAAATACCTCAACTTAAAAAATGGACAGCTACTTCTGGAACTTGTTAGGAAAATGGTGTTTGGATTGGAAGCAAAGGTGTTCTTGGAATACTTCCCTCACATCAGTGACAGTCTTAACTTACTAGGTAGTGGGAAATGCCATCTTTATCTCAAAGGTCATCTTTTAGGACTTATAGTCTCAGACTCCAACAATATTGTCACTGGAAGCATTGAAAGTTTTGTTTTCTTTATGCAGGTACAATCAATCATAAATGAGACCATGTATTGATGCAAGTGCTATGGTCTGATGAAACCAAGTCAAAGGCCAGATCTTGCCTATAGACTAGAAAAATACCTATTCCTGTTTCAAAGCTCAGAAATTACAACTCTTTGGGGGTGAGGAGAAAATGATGTGTTATTTTTCTTCTGTAGTCAGGTGGGCGAGGCCTCTTTAACTGAAATTTTCCCCCAGAGAATCGTGACTGTGGCTAACAGGGTGAGACTTAGTAAAGACATGACCATGATCTAGAATACCTTTTTTCCAAACTTTTGACCACAACCCACAATCAAAACTATATTTTACATAGAAACCCCATATATAGGCACATATACGTACTGCATAACTATAACAAAAGTTTCACAAAATAATACCTACTTCTCTATTTTTTCCATTCTATACTATTCTATTTCATTTTTTTTTAATGCTGATGTTGACTCATTACATCCATGATCCAATGGGCCGCAACCCCCAATTTGAAGACCCTCATCCAGATCTCAGTCACTAAGGTATACGTCAAGACAGCTGTCCTTGAGCCACAATGGAAACATTGACTCACAGTGAAAACACATGGAAATCAATACCCTAGCAGTCCCCTGCCATATGGCACGCTCCCTGAAGTGTATTCATGGAACAAGTACCTCAAGATGCTCCCAAACAAAAGATTTCCCAAATGTGTTTGAGGAACACTGAATGCTATAACCCCCTCTTGGAGATTTACAATACTCATAATTTATCAAAGGCTTTGAGACATCCTTAGGAAAGAAAAACTTGCTATTTAACCAGGAATTTTCAAACTTCTCAGACCACATAACATATATTTGTATAACAAACATCCTACTAAACAACTTTGGGAAATATTGCATATAGGAGAAACCACGGGGTTAGAGATGAAAATTAGTGTCTAAGCGCTCAAAAGTAACTGCATCTACTCCAACCATAAATATTTCAAGAGAAGGAGAAAAGGTCAAATGTACTATTTGGAATTCTGTCTGGTATCAATGAAAAAAATTCACAAGGCATTAAAACTAAAGAACTAAAGATCTCTGTTAAGGCCAGAGAAACAAGGAAACATACCTGATAAGTTCAATCTTTATTCCAAGCAACAGCAAATTGACTTGAGTATCTATCAGACGCCCTCACCTAGCTGAAGGGTCTACTTAGCCGCTGGAATTGCAATTTTGTAAAGAATTGGGTTGAAGGCTTGATTTAAAATATTTTTCTAGTCAGAAAAAGTCCAGTGAATTGCATGTCTTATGATTAAAAATACACAAAGGATCAACTCATGCTCCTCCAACACTCATGCCTGGCCATCAAAGTGGCTCTGTCAAGAGCTGCCTGTATTTTTACTTACCAAGTCACATAGTATAAAAGCTTAAGGATATAAAGGGCATTCTGAAGCTAACCAGAGGTCCAACCAGACTGACCAACAGAAGAAAGAAGCCTTTCTGTTGCCAAATAACATTCTCAGAATCTCCAAAGAGAGTCAGAGCATTATCACTATCTAACATTGTATGTATTTGGGTTTTTGTCTGTTTCTTCCCACAAAAGTGTAGGCTCCATGAAGGCAAGGATATTGTCTGTCTTGTTCACCTTGTTCACCTGTGTAACACCCCAAAAAGTGCCTGGCACATAGTAGATACTTGATAAATAAATGTTAGATAAATAAACTCCAGAGATTGACCAGGAGACAAGTTCAGTGGAAAGAAGATAGGATATGTTCTTAGAGATCAAGAGATTGGATGCCAGTGCTCTGTTCCTTCATTAACCATAACACCTGTCTTCCTATTTCCCAGGGCTGGGTGGAAGGAGATACCTACTAACCCCTGAACCTCTTTAACAGTCCAGATTGCACCCAAGAGGATTTAAGACCCTTGGGGACAAGGTCTCGTCTTGTTCCCCATAATGGGGGATTGCTCTCAAGAAATACTCAGTAAATGTTTACAGAACTACACTGAGAAAGAACAGTTGTTAGCCTTGAAAGTGCAGAGGCTCACCAGACCTCATGACCTTTAGCGGCCTCCCCACACAGAACAATGCTCACCCTCTTCATATTTCCTTATCTCCCAAGCATTCTAGCACTGCTGGTTCTTCTCCAAAACAAGGAAAGATGAGTTATGATGGTAACTTCACAGTTCAAAAACACAGTTCAAAAACTTTTCATGATTGTCACTGCATCATCCATACATGTGTGCAAGGAGAAGAAGACACATCAATGATGAATGACAGTGATGAATAATCTTAGTGAAATTCAGAAACACTCATCTATACACCCCCTGAGGTGTGGTGGGTGTAGGCCTTTTTCCTATGATGAAATATATACTTAAAAGAACCAAAAGAAGAAAATCTTTCATTCAGGGCTTTTCTCATAAATGACAGTTCACATTGCTATAGCTACATTTAACTCACCTATTTACTTACCAAAAAATCCACCTGACTTGGCCAGAGCAGGACAGGCCCACACAGTCACATCATTCTTAGGAGTACCTTGGCCAGTTGCAATCTCCTTTGTCTTAGGTAGCCAGATTAGGGAACAAATCTGTAATAATAACCCAAAAAATAAAGAATTACGGCAATTCCTGATTCATTACAAATATATTTCAAACTGATTCTAGGCAGTATGCTCTGTCCATATCCATCCTCCAGTCCACAGCTGGGGCTAGGGTGTTAAGGGAATTACATCAGTTCTAGGAAGGTTTATCCCAACGTAACAAAGGGCTATATACAAATAGTCTTAGGTGCAATAAATCTACGAATTTAAGTGGATGATGATCATTGTCCAGGCATAGTTGGACTACTGTCAAGTTTCACAGTCAAAGTAGTGCTGAAAAAGAAGGGAAATGAGGGGGAAAAAAGAGGATACACAAGTTAAATTAACTTTAGACTCACATATGAAAGTTTTACCAAAAGAAACTTCCAAGAACTGAAATCCTCATGGACTCAGCAGGTATAAAGAGGCGTGTTTAGGTCCTATGCTCCATCATAAATTATTTTCACAAGATTCTAGAAGACCAGAATGAAGGCAAACTCCAGAGGAGACATTTACCTGGGAGTTTGTGCTTGGGGTCTGGATGCTCCGCCAAGTATTTATGTCCAAGATGTGTAAGTGTCCATCCTTCATTCCTCCTCCAACAGCAAGAACTGCAGACTGCCAGGGACACCAATTCATGGCCTTTAAAGTTCCAAATAGTCACACAGACAGGTCAGCCTTGGAGGAGGTGAACTTGTGAACGTGATGAATTCAGGCAGGCAGAAGTTCCAGAGGTCTGCACCCATCACAGCTCTCATGGATCTCTCTGACCCAAAGGCAGAAGCAGCTGCACTCTCAAGAGATTACTCCTGGGGGACTAGAAATTACCTACTAGATGCCTTCCTCAAATTTTGGTAACAATTGGAAACATTTTAAACATAGAAAAATCACACAATTATATGTTTGAAAAACTACATTCAACACATCCTATGGGGCAAAATCTGCTGCCGGAGTAGTTGACATGTGTCCTTAGAATCTGGTTATGAAATGAAGCCTTTCTCTGGTTTGTCTACCTGTGTCTTTAGGTTCCAGCTCAGAGAAGAGACTAGAAGACAAAACAAAGCCATACATGATTGCTCACAACTCAAAAAGTCCCATGCATTTCAACTCCTAATACAATTCAGAAAATGAAACTGCTTTTTATTTACTTATCTACTTGTAAATTATTATAGTTAATTCTGAAAAATAGGATTTAGTATTGCACATTTATATTGATAACTACAATGACCAGAAACAATAGTTTTAAAGAAAATTTTAACAACTGTTTCAGTTATATTTATCTGTATATCCTTATCAATCATCTCGGTAACAATTCTCACTATTTCATATTATCTATATGTAAAAATATTTTATAAAGCACTAAACATAGTGTACACATTTTTATTTTCCTGTTGTTTTCACTTATTATATAAACAGTTTTTCATGTTTAACATATTTTTCATGATTAGGATTTTTAATAATCCCATAATTTTCCATTACGGTATTGTACTCTAATTTTTGTTCTAATGCTGGACTCAGGTTGATTTCTTATTTTGGTTTGGTTTGCATTGGGTTGAGTTGAGGTTTTTGGAGAGGAGAGGATTTGTTTGTTGTTGTTTTTTACGTGTTTTGTTTTAACTGTTTGAGGGGGTTTGTTCTGCACTTCTTTTTTTTTCATCTTTTTTTTTTAGGTAACATTGGTTTGTAACATTATATAAATTTCAGGTGTAAATCATCATATTTTTATTTCTGTGTAGACTTGATCATGTTCACCACCCAAAGACCAATTACCATCCATCACTGCACACATTCGCCCTATCACTCCTTTCATCCTCCCCCATCCCCTTTTCCCTTCTGGTAACTACCAATCTAGTCTCTGTATCTATGTGTTTGTTGTTTTTATCTTCTACTTATGAGTGAAATCATATGGTATTTGACTTTCTCCATCTGCCTTATTTCACTTAGAAATGTCATGTTGTCCATCCATGTTCTCACAAATGGCAAGATTTCATCTTTTTATGGCTAAATAGCATTCCAATGTGTATATATATATATCACATCTACTTTAACTATTCATCCATTGATGGGCACTTAGGTTGTTTCCAAGTCTTGGCTATTGTGAATAATGCTGCAATGAACAAAGGGGTGCAAATATCTTTTCGTATTTGTGTTTTCATGTTCTTTGGATAAATACCCAGAAGTGGAATAGCTGGATCATACGGTAGTTCTATTCTTAATTTTTTAAGGAATCTCCATACTGTTTTCCATAGAGGCTGCACCAGTTGGCATTCCCACCAGCAGTGTATGAGGATTCTCTTTTCTCCACATCCTCTCCAACACTTCTTATTTCTTATCTTGTTAATTATAGCCATTCTGACGGGCGTGAGGTGATATCTCATTGTAGTTTTGATTTGCGTTTACCTAATAATTAGTGACATTGAACATCTTTTCATGTGCCTTTTGGTCATCTGTATATCTTCTTTGGAAAAATGTTCAGATCCTTTGCCCATTTTTTAATTGGGTTGTTTGTTTTTTTGTTGTTGAACTGTATGAGTTCTTTATATATTTTGGATATTAACCCCTTATCAGATAGATGGTTTATAAATAACTTCTCCCAATTTTTAGGTTGTCTTTTCATTTTGTTGATGGTTTCCTTTCCTGTGCAGAAGGTTTTTAGTCTGATGTAGTCCCATTTGTTTATTTTTTCTTTTGTTTCCCTTCCTTGGTGAGACATGGTATTCAGAAAGATACTGCTAAGACCAATGTCAAAGAGTGTACTGCCTATGTTTTCTTCTAGAAGTTTTATGGTTTCAGGTCTTAAATTCAATTCTTTAATCCATTTTTAGTCAATTTTATAAGATAATGGTCTACTTTCATTCTTTTGCATGTGGCTGTCCAGTTTTCCCAACACCATTTATTGAAGAGATTTTCCTTTCTCTCTTGTATGTTCTTGTATGTTCTCCCTTGTCAAAAATTACTTGTGCATAGATGTGGGTTTTATTTCTGGGCTCTTGATTCTGTTCCATGGATCTGTGTGTCTGTTTTTCTGCCAGTACCATGCTGTTTTGATTACTATAGCTTTGTAGTATATTTTGAAATCAAGGAGTGTGATACCTCCAGCTTTGTTCTTTTTTCACAGGATTCCTTTGGCTACTCAGGGTCTTTTGTCATTCCATACAAATTTTAGGATTCTTTGTTCTATTCCCGTAAAAAATGTTATTGGGACTTTGACAGGGATTTTCGTTGTTTTTCATGTGTTCTAAGTGTTTGCTTTTGTAAAGAACACTATAATTAATATATTCTGGCATATGTCTTTTGTTTCTGACAACTTATTTTTTAGGTAATTCCAAGCTTCAGAACTACTGACATAAAGTTTTCCAAATAATTGTAACTTTTTACAACAACAGCATCAAATGAGTACACTAATTTCATCCTGACTTAAAGGCTACTTGGAGATAAAAATTAAATCGCCCATCCCACATGTCCTTCTAGAACTTTGCCCATTTCCTCCATCAATAGATAGAATCTCATTCCCCTTCCTTTGAATCTGGGGAACTTGTGACTTGCAACCAACAGCAGCAAAAATAACACTGCAAGACTTCTGAAAACTAGGTTATAAAAGGTTATGCCACTTTCACCTTGCTCTCTGAAGCACTGGCTCTATTGCCCTGAACCACAAAGTTCAACCGTCTTAAGGCTGCCATGTTGTGAGGAAGCCCAAACTAGTCCAAACAATGTGGAGAACCTCTGAGACTACACGAAGAGGGAAGGATGCCTGGCCAGCCAACACTGCTCCAGCGCCCAGCACTTTTAGCTTCAGCCACTGCCTAACTACAACCACATGAGAAACCCTGAGCCAGAACTGCTCAGACCAGCCTTTCCCAAAGAAACCATAAAAGATAATAAAATGATTGTTATTTTAAGCCACTAAGTTTTGGGGTAATTTGTTACATGGCAATAGGTAATCAACATAGATATCATGAGTAGAAATCTTAGACAATGAAATACGGCTATAATTCACACAAGAAAGACAATGAAGAACTCTGATCAGCCAACCTACATTCAAAGTAAAGACCTTGGCCTTGTATTGTGAATAAACATACAATTTAAAGTTTTCAGTCAAAATAAAATATTTACAATATGTATATATCATTTCCTACCCGCCTTAATTGTCTTTTTCAAATTATCATTCAGCTACATACCACTGACTGGGCTGGATAAGACGGCTACTTCAGTAAACGCAAAATTTCGCATAGAATTTCAAGAGGCTCAGAAGTCCCCCTGAGCCCATGGCCCCGTTTTACCATGTGATGAATATCAGTATTTTTTATATTTATTAGTAATAATTTTTTTAAATACCCTACTTCCAATTAGCTTTTACTATAAACAAGTTGTTTTGGAAAAACTAGAAGCTCCATCTTGAGAGGAATCACACAGACGTCAACCTCTGAAGTCCACTCCTGCTGTACCAATTGGCTAGTCAGTGGTGAGTGTGAAGAGACACACACTGGTGACCGTTACTGTGATTCCCCAGGGATTAGCTGCCGTGAGGCTTGGCTTGCTCAGGTTTCCAGAAACTCTCTCTTAGCTCAATTCATTGTATTTCTGACAACAAGCCATTTAAGAAGGTAACTTGCTTTGTTTGGCTTTTTGTTTTGCTTTATTTTTGCTTTTTTATTTTGTTTGCAGACAGAATATTTTACATACATTTCTCCTAGATTTTTTTCAAGTCATTAGTAATGGTAATTTGGACCTAAAATCATTCTCAAGGTCTGTGGACATTAAAAACCACAAGCTAAAGCTATTGGGCCAGTACTACACAGTAGCAGTAGGCACTGTATATTCTACCCTATATCAGGAAATTTTATGATAACTTTTAAGGTCTTATTCTAATAAATCTGTTTGTAGTTAATAAAGTAGAATCATTTCCTTGCTTTACGAGTGAAAAATATTCTAAGACTATGTTAAGGCCAAGACATACATCTATGACACGAAAGGAAGGAAAGTATGGACTTTTATTTTTACTAGAAATAAGAATTTAAAACACAGAGAAATAAGAAATTATTATGCAGAGTGTGGTAGAGTATTGGTTTAACTCTATCGCACCTTTCCTCTCTCTTCCGGAAATGGGTCTCCTTTCTTGGGTGTGAGCTCATGACCCAGGCCTGGCAGTCAGTGTGCCCATCTCTCTGGTCACAATTATCAAATGAAAGATGCGAATGCAACCAAAGCCAGACCAGAGTCCTGCCTAGGACTTTTCTACCAGAGTTATAAGGAACAATGTTTTCTTATCAGCTCCTATCTAGGAGAGTCTGAATGTGAAGCTGCCAAGAGCCATCTTGCCCACAAAATGGAGTCTGAATGAAGAATGAAACTAAACGGAGACAAGCAGAGCCAAGAGCTAAAGAAACAGGATTCTAATGACATTATTTAAGACCGTGGATCCAGCCAATATTTGAAAGAGCTGTATGTACCCAGGATTCCTCAGTTACACGAGAAAATATATTTACTATTTTGCTTAAGCTCAAGCTTGACTTTAGTTTCAGTCACTTACAACCAAAAAATCTGACACATGGGGAGTATAAATAGGATTGTCTTCCAGGAGAGTGATGGCAAAATCCAAAACAAATTCTGGGGGAAGCAAATCTCCAAATATTGGCTTAATGATTTGTTTTTATGTGTGAAGGAGATCTACTGGCCTCAGAGTAAAGGGAAACCGAGAAACTGTGGGATTTCTTACCTTGACTGCCGTAGGTTGGGGTATGACTTTTAGTGGTTGACCCTGCGCACTCACACCTGGATCATGGGGCCATATGGTCAGCAGTCCGTCACTACAGCCACTGGAAAGCAGCCTGCCATCAAATGACCACTTCAGAGCACACACGGCTTGCTTGTGGTGAAGTGTTCCGACATGATGCTGGGCTACCCGAACATCGTGGTGATAAACACGGCCCAGTCTCGACCCACTGCACAGAGGAAAGGGGCAGCTTTATGACAGAAAACTCGAGCCCTAATACTACATAGACATTTGAAAATGTGAAGGAAAACATAGTTCAAACTACTGAAAGACCCCTTAGGAAAGATTCAAAAGACAGTAGGCATTCCTTGGGTTAATGAGGATAGAGTATTCTGGCTCGGTGATTCTTTTCACAAGTCAAATAGATTTGTCTGGCAGAGTTTCACATCTGGATATCGAGAAGATATCCTTTGATAGATGTCTATAATGACTTTAACATGATGCAGGCAGCCACGGAAAAGATAAATTTAGAAGATTACCAGATTTTCTCAGGTAGTAGTATATATGCTGAACCTAGGAAATATTACTTTTCTGGAATTCAGAATATTTCATATTATCTCAATGAATGGTTTTAGTGTGTGTGTGTGTGTGTATATATATATACACACACACACATAGTAAACTGTTAGACATAGAAATTTATTATTTCCTTTTTCTATTGATCCATAGATCCACTATTAGTTTTGCTAATGCTGCTAATATCTGAAAAGAGTATGAAGCTATCTGAATGTCAGAGCAAACCGCAATGATTCAAAGTCAGTGGATAACATCTCTGCTCACTCTCAATGATTTGGATCCAAACAATAAAGATCCTGTCACTCTGTCAAAGATAATGAACTCTTTCCGAACTAATTTAATTTTCTCCAAGGAGCAAGTAAATGACTGCCTATAATTCTTTCTGAAATTTCTCAAAGTTCAGTGTCATATTTTTAAAAACTATTCAGGCACAACACTGAATAGCATTCTGATGAACAACAATATGGTCTCCGCAGCCAGCCCACCTGGGTTCAAAGGCTGACTCTTCCCTTATACTAACCAGGTGACCTCAGGCTAGTGTCTCAGGCTACTCATCAAAAGTGGGGGAGATAAGAAACCACTGTACAGTGTTATTGCAGGAATTAAAACACTATTACGTACACAAAGAGTACAACACCATGCCTGGCACAGAGTACTTCAAAAATGTTAGCTGCTGTTATTGTAAGAAAGGATCTGTTCATATTCCTCCTGGGTACTGAAACTAAACTTAAACAATTGAGACTCCAAAAGGAACCTGAGTCTAGAATTGACCTGACAGCAACAACTTCTCAGGGTAAATATTTAGGCCTTTATAGGATGTTTTGCGTAAGTGGTTTTAAGTTTGGCCTACAATCACAAAGTATTAAAATCTCAAATCTACATCTGAGCTACTTTAAAAAACTGCAAAAGGCTTTGGAATTAATTTAACTTAAATCTACCTTAAGAAATACAGTACAAAAATGAATGGCTATTATTAAAAGCAAAATATATTTAAATCAGTTATGTAGGATCATAGGGACAGTCGCAACTTTTCTGGTTAAAAAGAAGCAGTTAGACTAAATCAGTAGTTCTCAAAAGTGATGAAGCATCAGCATGACTTAGGAAATTAGAAATGCAAATTCTCAGCATACCGTAAGACCTACAGAATCAAAAATTCCTGGAGTGAGGCCAGCAATTTGTATCTTAAGGAGCCCTCCAGGTAACTCTGATGCATGGTCAAGTTTGAGAACCAATGAACTGGTTATCTCTGAGGCTACTTTCAGTTCTAACCTCTGTGGGTCTGTGAATTGGAAATGTGCCCCAGAAAGCTTAATATATTCAAATTATTGATACTGGTAGCAATAAATATTTAATTGCAACCAAATATCTTTCTAGTAAGTATTATTTGGAACAGAGAAACTTTTCGCTTAAACAGAGTTTTACATTTTGTCTGAACAATTTAGTGAATCCTGCACCTCACACTGCAGTACTAGCACATGCTGTGGGCACACAGCCACCACGGTACACGTGGTCGCTGCACCACCTCCATCACCAGAAGATCTGAATGCCTGAGAGGGTAGGATCATAACTGATACTAACTAATGTCTTGTCTTGTTTCATTTTTGTTTCAGTTTTGGTTTTAAATATTATGGTTCTGTTCACTCAGCCCCCCTAATCAATTGGTGGTACAAATATAATTCGTTCCAAGAAAATGCTTCTTACCTGCTGAGGATACAGTGATTCCAGCTCAGAGCCCCAACTACAGACAAATGACCAAGCATATTTCTCAGCCGCTTTTTAGTTACCACATCCCATAACTGAAAAAGTGAACAAGCAGAGTTATGCAGCACTGATATGTTCACAGTCCGCTGTCTTCTGAAAAGCCCGATAGCCAATTAATGCTAATATAGCCAGTCCTTGAACCAAGTGAAAGTTCAGCACCTTTAACCCTAGTCAGCAGTTCTCAACCCTGTCTGCATATTAGGATCACCTAGGGAGCGTGCTATGGATGCTAGCGATTCTATTTAATGATGGGGGTAGAACCTGGGGATATGGCATTTACTTTAAAGTTCTCCACGTGAATTCAGTGGGCAGCCATGAGTGGAGAATCACTATCACACTTCTGGTTCCTTCTAAATAGTTGAAATTTCAAACCTGGAAATCTACCTACAGTTACAACAAAATTTGGGTACCTAGACACTTTGTAGAGTCAGGATTTCCATTTACTGCTAAGGGACTCCTTTCCTGCCAACTATAAATGATATTCTGACCCATATGAGGAATGAGAACTTTGGTGTAAGAAGAAATCAGGACATAACCTTCACAGTATCCAACATCACTGCAGAGATGAGAAAGCAGTGAGAGCCATCTGTGGCCCCCCACAAAGTCATCAAATACATGAGGAATATTGTTCACACTGTTGCTAAAAAACAATAATAATGACAATAAGAAATTACATAGATTGATGGAAACTTGGTAAATCTCCATTTCAGAAAGCCTATCAGAAAAAAAAAATCCTTTTCTAAATGAATTTACAAATTCATGTTTTTTTAATTCACTCATTTTAAGTAATTCTATTCCTGATCATGGCTTGAGGTGAGAAAGGAGAAGTGAAAGGTTGTCTTCTTCTCTCCAAAGTCCTAAAACTGGAGATTCTACAAGCTCAACTTTAGTTTCAGAGAAAAGACTAAAAAAAAAGGATATGTGACAAAAAGAAAGATTGTGTGGAAAAACTAAGCAGAGTACCCCAAAGTGCTCATGAAATGCCATTCAGAAAAGAACCAGAATGGTATATCCTCTCATCCCCCGTAGCTTCAAGTACACACCCACCCAATATAGTTTCTCTCTTTTGTATTAACCTGTTAGTAAAAGTCAATTTTAGTTATCTAGCAATTACACAGAGCACATTATGAGAAAGAAAAAACTGTCCAGTACTTGCACTTCTCCCTCGCTGGTGCCAACCGCCAGGCAGCTTCCCTCTTTTATCCAGGACACAGAAGATACATAGTTACAAGTGAGATTTAAGTCCATATTTTCAATCCTATTGTGGTTTTCCCCATTCCAGATGCATACAGAAGATCCAAGGGCTATAGCAACAAGATTTTGAAAATTCCAGTCTAGGATATTCAGATCTACAAGAAAAGCATTTCAAATTAGGGTAATTATGCAGCCAAATAAAAATATGTTCAAGTAAACAACTTTATTTATAGGAAGAAGACAAAGATTACTACTTTCCCCATGGTCACTTGGAAAACAGAATCACGAATCCAACCAGATCACTAGAAGTTCAAAAATGAAAACTGGAATAGAAACTTGTGTCACAGTCTAATAAGCAATAATGCTTACCATTTATGCTCAGTTATATTTATTTAAAGGCATTTAGAAAACTTGGCAGTTTCATCTGCCATTTTTAGTATATATGGATTTCATCTAACAGATCACTGAAATTAAAAGCACGTAGTTCTTATGGAGACATCCTTGGACCTAGGACATCCATGGGAGATGTCACCATCATTTCTAACCTAAAATACCACCCAGTATATCTAGAACAGGTGGTCACTGGCTTATTTATGATACCTAAAAGTTCTTAGTAGTATTCTCTAGCTTACACTATAAGAAAGCTTTGACTGCTAAAAGAAACCATATTTATATGACCACGTATTAAAATCTACCTTATCTTATTTCTTATAAGACAGAAACTCCTATCCTGATTGACACATATCAGTATGAAACTATGAAGCACACCAATTCTAATACTGCAGTCTAAGCCCCCTATAACTCATCCCTCCCACTAATGACAACTGTAAACTCTGAACAAAATATAAAAAATAAACATCTGAGAACTCTGGAAAATAAGTAAAAGCAGGTAAACTAAGTGAAGGAGTCAAAACTTGGAGAAGCAACCTGCCCAGGGGTGAGTTTCCCACTTTTTTTCTCACATGGCTTTGCCCTGAGGTTGGGCCCCAGTCATGGATTAGCACCCGCAGCTCAAGCTCTAGTAGAAAGCCCACCATCTTTCTGGTCAGAGGAACCATGGAAAGGAGCCTAAGATGGCCAAAGTGTGAGAGGAAAGTCCTTGCGGGGAGAGAGCCACAGAAAGGCATCCTCTTATTGTGAGTGTATGAACCCACACACAACTCAGCTTTACCCTGAAGTCACATAAGAACAGCAAGGAAAACTCAAATCAGCTTAGTAAAGGCTTTGAGAACTGAACTAAGTTTTGAAACATCCAGACAAGTCTCAGCTTAGACTCTGATCCACATACATGGGAGATAGACCCAAACCAGCATAGTCAAGGCTTAAGAAACTGATCTGAGATTTGGAACACCATCCACGGAAGGCAAGACAAAACTTAAGCTGTGAACCTAACTAAGACAAATATACCAACAGTGTTGGAAGTCCTAGCTACAGCAATCAGACGAGAAAAGGAAACAAAAGGCATCCAAATTGGAAAAGAAGAATTAAAACTATCACAATTTTCAAATGACATGATACTATATACAGAAAACCTTAAGGACTCCACCAAAAAACTATTAGAACTAATAAATGAATTCAGCAAAGTTGCAGGATACAAAATAAATATACAGAAGTAAGTTGCATTTCTATACACTAACAACAAACTAGCAGAAAGAGAATTTTTTTTTAAATCCCATTTTCAGTGACACCAAAAAGAACTAAATACCTAGGGATAAATTTAACCAAGGAAGTGAAAGACCTGTACACTGAAAACTATAAGACATTGATGAAAGAAATTGAAGACAACAAAAATAAATGGAAGATACACCATGCTCGTGGATTGGAAGAATTAATATTCTTAAAATGTCCATACTACCCAAAGCAATCTACAGATTCAATGCAATCCCTATTAAAATAATCCTTATTAAAATTCTGAAGAAAACACTAATTCAAAAAGATATATGCACTCCATGTTCATTGCAGCATTATTCGCAATAGCCAAGATACAGAAGCAACTTGTGTCCATTGGTAAATTAATGGATAAATAAGATGTGGTATGTGGTATATACATGTAGATACATATACACGCACATATTGGAATAATACTCAGCCATAAAAAAAGAGTAAAATCCTGCTATTTGCAACAACCTAGATGGATCTAGAGGGTATTATGCTAAGTGAAATAAGTCAGGCAGAGAAAGAAGAATACTGTATAATTTCACTTATATGTGGAATCTGAAAACAAAACAAATGAACAAAAAAAAAAATAGGAAGAGACTCATAGATATAGAGAACAAATTGGTGGTTACCATATGGGAGGAGGGTGTGGGAAGGGCAAAATAGGTGAAGGGGATTAAGAGGTACAACTTTAAGTCATAAAATAAATAAGTCATGGGGATGTAATTTACAGCATAGGGAATACAGTCAACAATATTGTAATAACTTTATATGATGACAGAAGGTTACTAGTCTTATCAGGATGATCATTGTATAATATATATAAATATTGAATCACTATGTTGTACACCTGAAATTAATACAATACTGTATATCAACTATATTTCGTTTTAAAAAAAAATTTTAAAGGGGCTGGCCCCGTGGCCGAGCGGTTAAGTTCGCGCGCTCCGCTGCAGGCGGCCCAGTGTTTCGTTGGTTCGAATCCTGGGCGCGGACATGACACTGCTCATCAAACCACGCTGAGGAAGCGTCCCACATGCCACAACTAGAAGGACCCACAACGAAGAATATACAACTATGTACCGGGGGGCTTTGGGGAGAAAAAGGAAAAAATAAAATCTTTAAAAAAAAAAAAAAATTTTAAGGACCTGACTAGAGGGGATTCAAAGACAATGTGGGGAGAGAAACAGGAAATTGTGAATATAGACACCTTTTGACAAGTTTTGCTGTCAAAAGGAAGAGAGAAAAGGGGCTATGGTTTGAAGCAGAAGTGGGAGCAAAAGGTTTTTTGGTTTTTTTTAAAGATTGGCACCTGAGCTAACAACTGTTGCCAATCTTTTTTTTTTTTTTTCCTGCTTTATCTCCCCAACTCCCCCACCCCCCATACATAGTTGTATATCCTAGTTGCAGGTCCTTCTAGTTGTGGCTCATGGGACGCCACCTCAACGTGGCCCGACGAGCAGTGCCATGTCCGCGCCCAGGATCCAAACCCTGGGCCGCCACAGCGGAGCCGGGAACTTAACCACTCGGCCACGGAGCTGGCCCCGCAAAAGGTTTTTTTTTTAAATATGAGTGTGGTATTTTTTAAACATCTCTTGAAATGTCTCCTCCAACTGTCATTGGTCACGACAATAAAGTCTCTTAGAGAAGGAGCTATAGGAGAAGAAAAGTAGGAGAACTGTTCCCTTGAATGATTTTGCTTCTTCCAGCTCATTGTTCTCTGTGAATGTTCACAGAACCCAGACCCCTTCCCTCTGCTCCTTTCTCCCTCACCAGGAGATCACACACTGGCTCTTGGCCTCAGCCATAACTATCTGACCTCTAGTTTATCCTCTCTTTTCAACTACCAACCTCACTTCTAATGATCTGCTGGAACCTCTTCTATGTCTCACTGTCCCCTCAAATGTAATATTGCAAGAATGGGGTCTTTCCTACCCAAAGCACTTCACTGCTAACCTGTCTTCCCAGTGACATCACCTTTGTCCTGCTTCAAAAACTTGAAATAATCTTAAATTCATCCCTCTTTCCAGGTATTTTTCCTCATGGAGAGAAAAAAGTCCCTTACCTTTTGGTAGCTCTCTCCTACTGAATGCATTCTGCATCCTCTGCCATGAATTTTCCTTTGATTTTTTTCATAGTCAACAACTCCCACAGCAAATATAAAAATCTACACCCAACTTTTGATTCTCCATAATCTGCATTCACCTACATATTCAACAGTTCCCAATATATCCTCTTCATTGCCATTAATTATCATTAATTACCAACATCCTGCCTTTGCTCATGCTGTTAACATCACTGAAAATGCTCTACATTCTCTCCTACACCCCCTCCAAATCCTACCCATCTTTCAAGACCCAGCTCAACTCTGAGTATCTCCACAAAGTCTTTCTAGACAACTCCAAAGATCATTGAGCTCCCTAATCCTTATATCTCCTTATAATGCACAGTTTATTATTTATATTTTACATTGGCATGTTGGTAGCAGTTACATGTGGGTTAGTCTTGTCTTTCCAACTTACTTACAAGCTAGGCACGTAACAAGAAAACCCACTGTGGTTGTTTGACTGATTAGATTTACCCAGCTTCAAAATATATGCATAAGAAAAGGCTACCATTTGTACAGTTCATTCTAATATAGTAAAACAAAATGTATATTCTCATGCCCCTCCAATACCAACAATACCCATTCCTGAACATAAAAATTGCACAAGGAAAAATCAACTATTTAATCATATTTGGATGGTACACTATTTGGACATGAAGCAAAGGCCCATCTGGTTCTTCCAGAATCAAGTTTCAAGTTTATGGCAGAGCACAGGACCAACTTTTCATTTCATGATCTAAACAATAACTTACAGTAGTCATTTCGAAGACCAGTAAGATGAATCTTCACCTCTGGTTGGAGTATGGAAGAGTTTATATCACTGAACCTTTTAAGATAGAAGGATTCATCTCTGACTCCATCTCTGCAGCCTATAAGAAACAAACAGTTCCACACATCTCTATGATCCTGGAAACATAATATTTATCCTTTCAGATATTAAGAGATAACAAAGTGAAAAAGAAAGTGGTATTGTAATAAAACTGAATTACAAGTTGCAGGGGGAAGAAAGGGAAAAAAGAAAACTTCAGTATTAATTTAAACAAATACATTTTTTAAATATTCAATAGCATTTTCTAACAAAAATCACTGAGTGCCAAACCAAAATGTAATGACAGATCTTGTGGGGAGCACACAGAGACACTACATCTTGCTTTGAATATTTACTCAAAGATTTTAAAATAAAAGTAATTTTTGCATATCCATATGTCTATCACATCCACAACTACCCGCTAGACCTAAATCCCACTCTGAGTCTTTGTCAATAAATATTTGTTGATTCATTGATTTTGGCTCTTTCTCTCTCTGTTTCTGTACCAGAGCACACAAAATTACTTTTGGCTTGTATTACCCATGATTATCTGGGTTCACAATTATATCTTATGTTCAGTTTTAATTCTCATCAAAAGACCCCACTAAGTCTAAACCACAGACCACTGTCTTTTCATCTCTCCAACCACTTGACCTATGATCAAACTGAAAATTACATGATCAACAGGAAGTGACCCCACCTAGGTGACTTGTGGTCTCTATGACCAGATAACTTCTGATAAAAGCATGAGAGTTCCACAGTGCTATACCAAGAAGCCAAATTGTTACTCATAGCCTCATTGTTAGCTTTGAAATGTGCAGCTGTGGAAAGAACTGCAAGCTTACTAGAAATACTCAAGCACTACCAGAAAAGAAACACTAAAGATTTTACAAAATAATAATACCTAGAGAATCAACAAAAAACTCCTGGAACTAACGAGTGATTATAGCAAGGTTGCAGGCCACAAGGTTAACATACAAAAGTCAATTGCTTTCTTATAATTCAGCAATGAGCAGTTGGACTTTCACATTAAAAACACAATGTTATTTACATTAGTACGCCAAAAAATGAAATACTTAGGTATAAATCTAATGAAATATGTACAAGAGCTATATGGGGAAAACTCCAAATTCTAATCAAAGAAAATCGAAATAAATGGAGAGTTATTCCATGTACATGAATAAGAAGACTCAATATCATTAAAATGTCATGTCTTCCCAACTTTATAGATTCAGTGCAATCCCAGTCAAAATCCCAGCAAGTTATTTTGTGGATATTGACAAATTGATTCTAAAATTTATATGGAGAGGTAAAAATCCCAGAATAGTCAACATAATATTGAAGGAGAAGAACCAAGTTGAAGGATTGGCACTCTCTGACTTTAAGACTTACTAAAAAGCTACAGTACAAAACAGTGTGGTATTGGTGAAAGAATAGACAAATACATCAACGGATCTATGGAGAGCCCAGAAATAGACACATACAAATATAGTCAACTGATCTTTGACAAAGGAGCAAAGGCAACACAATGGAGAAAAGTCAGTCTTTTCAACAAATGGTGCCAGAACAACTGGACATCCACATGTGAAAAAAAAAAAGAATGAATCTAGACACAGACCTTACACTCTTCTCAAAAATTAAATAAAAATGGATCATGGACCTAAAAGTAAAACACAGAATTATAAAACTCCTAGAAAATAACATAGGAGAAAATCTAGATGACTTTAGGCTTGGCGTTGACTTTTTAGATACAACACTAGGCATGATCCACGAAAGAAATCATTGCTAAGCTGAACTTCATCAAAATTGGAAACCACTGCTCCGTGAAAGACAACGTCAAGAGAATGAGAAGACAAGCCACAGACTGGGAGAAAATATTTGCAAAAAATTTATGTGATAAAGGACTATTACCCAAAATATACAAAGAAACTCTTAAAAGCAAACAATAAGAAAACAAACAATTTGATTTAAAAATGGGCAAAAGATCTGGGCACCTCACCAAAGAAGATATACAGATGGCAAAGAAGCATAGAAAAGATGCTCAGCATCATATGTCACTAAAGAACTGCAAGTTAAAACAACGAGACACCACTTCACACCTATCAGAATGGTCAAAATCCAACACTGACAACACCAACACCAAATGCTGATAAGGACGTGGAACAACACGTGCTTATGGAAATGCAAAATGGTACAGCCACTTTTGGAAGACAGTTTGGTGGTTTCATACAAAACTAAACATGCTCTTATCACACGATCCAGCAATCACACTCCTTGGTATTTACTCAAATGAGTTGAAAAGTTATGTCCGCACAAAAAAACCTGCACACAGATGTTTCTAGTAGCTTTATGCATAATTGCCAAAACTTGGAAGCAAGCGATGTCCTTTAATAGGTGAATGGATAAATAAACTGTGGTACATTCAGACAATGGAATATTATTCAGTGCTAAAAAGAAATAGGTATCAAGCCATGAAAAGACATGGAGGAAACTTAAATGCATATTACTAAGTGAAAGAAGCCCATCTGAAAAGGTTACATGCTGTATGATTCCAACTATGTAACATTCTGGAAAAGGCAAAACTATGGAGACAGTGAGAAGCTTGTCAGGGGTTAGAGGAGGAGGGAGGGATAAATAGATGGAACACAAAGGATTTTTAGAGCAGTGAAACTACTCTTTATTCTACTGGTGGATACATGTCATTACACCTTTGTCAAATTCCATAGAATATACAACACCAAGAGTGAGCCCTAATGTAAACTATGGACTTTGGCTGATAACGATGTGTCAATGTAGGTTCATCAACTATAATAAATGTACCATCCTAGTGTGGGATGTTGACAGTGGGGGAGGCTGTGCTGGGGGTAGGGGATATATGGCCCCCCTCTCCGTAATTTCTGCTCAATTTTTCTGTGAACCCAAAATTTTTGCAAAAAAATTATATACAGTCATGCATCGTTTAATGACTGGGATACATTTTGAGAAATGTGTTGTTAGATTATTTTATCACTATGCAAACATCGTAGAGTGTACTTACACAAATCTGGATGGCACAGCCTACTACACATCTAGGCTCTATGGTACTAATCTTATGGAACCACCATCATACATGCAGTCTATAGTTGACCGAGACATCATTATGTGGTGCATGTATGTATATACAAATATATATTTAAGATACCAGAATAATATAAATATAAGTACATTCTCTCTGCCTTGATAGAATATGTAATTTTTGTTCTACATGAAATATTTAGCATCTTACAAAAACACAAACTTGTTGCTGGTCAGATCAAAAGAAGATTAGAGAGCTAAAGGAAGACATGTCCCCAAATATTTTATTTTGATTTTTTTTTAAATATCATCCAAAAGAAAAGAAGAAAGAAGAAAAGGATAAGTGTCACTCATTCACCCCAATTGTACATTCCCAAACCTCCAAAAGAATACTCAGCAGGCTTGAAACTTTTTGTGCTCATTTCAATGCATCTAAGTCTGTTTTTGTCCCCTTTACACAGTTGGGAAACAGAGGCTTGAGGAGTAAACCTGCACAAAGTTCTAGATGGAAAAAGTGTGTATCTTGGTATTATCTATATAATTTTTTAAAAGAAAATTTCCAAAAACAATTTTAAATGAAAAATTAGGATAGAATGTAAAAATAGAGGTATACTTTAGCATTAAAGATTTCTCTTTGTTGTTCACATTTATATTTGAGACCCTCCCAAAGCACTCAATGGATTTGCTCACCAGAACTTATCACAGAGGGAAATGTAACAGGCAAGTTTCCTTGACATTAATGAAATGAGCTCTCTCAACAAGCTTCTCTCACAAAACTCAGGCACCTAATCAATTACTTTCCAACCAGGATAACAATTTCATAAATAACACAAAGACTTCCAAGATGGAGAGAGAAAGTTGGAAGGAGAATATGTGGGGCTCAAAGTAAAATTGACTTTGGGAGCTTTAAATGCAGCACAGAAGGAGGATCTTCTGGAAGTTGCAACAGTAACCATTCTCTCCCCAGTACATGGCTGCAGAGCTGCCCTGATACACTCATGGCATCACCATCCAAAGATCCCCACCAGCTTTAGGCCTAATTGGTACACTTACTCTGAAGTTTCAGTCTTATCAGATATGGATAAGACATGAAGAAGAACTTTATATACACAGCACCTGGATAAAATTTGTACCAGTGATCTACTTGTCTAAGATCAGTTACTTGGCTTATATGGGATCCATTTCATACTTTAAATCCCCTTAAAGGAATTAAGAGCCCTATATAGAATATTCCAAGGACCTCTCAATGAGTCTCTGCCTCCAACATCCTCCCCTTGAAATCTTAATGCTGCCACCAAAACACACACACACACACACACACATACACACGTGCACATGCCAGAAGAAACCAGATGTTTATTCCCTGGACAAATAAAAAATAACAATCTCTTAACTCAAGAACACCAGGCACCATGGAGATGGATATATGGTGCCTGTAAAATTAGAGATTGAGTAAAAATCTTTATACTGATTTGAGTAGCCCATAGCTCTTTATCCCGGTACTATTTCCAGAACACCACACATTTCAGAAAGCTTTTATGTTGAAAGGGAGAAATCTAAACAAATAGGGAGGGAAAAAAACTAAGGCAAAGAAAGACAATTCATGGAGAAGAGGAATATTTCCAAAATCTATCAAATAATACTATCAGAGAAATGAGAAGATAGTATATCCATAAAGCATGAAGAGGATGCTGTTAAAAAAAATTTTTTAAATGTACAAGAAATTTATAAATTAAAACTAGAATAGCCATAATAAAAAATTTAATAGCAAGGCTAGTGGACAGGGTTGACGTAACCACCTAGAAGGTAAGGGGAAAAAAAAAACAGTGACATGAAAAATAGAATAGAAAAAAACAAGAAAATTAGAGAGTCAATCCAGAAGGACCAACATAATAATTTCAGAAAGAAAGAAAAAAGAAACAAAGGTAAAGAAATTTCTAAAGAATAATTCAAGAAACTTTCCAAGAACTAAGTTGGTCTCTAAGATTGAAAAGATCCACCAATAGGCTTTTCACTTACGAGTTCAAAAAAAAAAAAAAGCACACCAAGCTTATTATTATGAAATTTTAGAACACTAATGATAAGAGATTTTCCTAAGAGCTTCCAGAGAGAAAAAGCAGGTGGCATACAGAGCACAGGAATTCACAATAGCAGATGACTTCTCAACAGCAATAGTGGACGCTAGAAAACAATAAAGCAATAACTTCAAAATTATAAGTGAAATTAGAATTTACAGCCAGACAAACTATGAATCAAGTATAAGGGTAGAATAAGGACATTTCAGACCAGCAAACCCAGAAAGAGCACAGCACAGCTGCTAGGAAATAGTGGGTTTAACATGAGAGAAAAGACCCAGAATTACAACTGTTCAACAGGCTTGGGTGGGAGGTCACCATGGAAAACACAAACTGATATGGGCGGATACATGCAAAAGGTCATTGATAGCTTTGGAACAAAACATGGGCGCATTTGGCGGAAATAGTCTTGGTTTCATAGGCATCAAGTAAGTGAAAAAATAAAGTAACTTTTTAACTTCAAGAAAAACAAAGAGTTACCCTAGAAAAGCGGCATAGTTATAGTACACTACTGGGCTTGGCAGTGAATAACAGTTGTAGTGTAATGTGATGTAAACATTGACTACTAATTTTGCCTCTTAAAAGTGTGATATAAGTAGACTGAAAGAAGTGAATGAGGCAGGAGGAGAAATAAGTTCTTCCCTACTATGCTAGAAAGTCATGATAAAGTCTAAAATTGAAGAAATAGTAGTTTACAAATATTATTTAGAAAATAGGTGTAAATACCAGGGGGACTAGCTCGAAGAGCTAAGGGCGGTTGCCTCTGGGAAACGGGACTTGGGGGTGGGGATGGTTAAAGCAGACAATTATGAGAATTATCTAAATTTTACAATTATATTGATTTAGTCTAGTAAATATAAAAATAATATATTTTAAGATGAAGAAGAAATGAAAGACGCAGGGAGAGAGGAGGGTAGGAAAAGACAAACTGAAAATCTTTGGCCCATACCTTTCCAAACACATTGGGATTGCTCACAGAGCTGCATTTTCCCATTCACCTGGTGAGCTACCTTCTGGGTTGAAAATAGCTGATTTAGGCATTTCTGAAAACAAACACATAAAGAGAATAATTCTTTAGAAACATATTTGTACATCTCAGATGTGATGTATGATACAGAGCTAAAACTGATAATTCACTAGGAAGTTCAAAGATTCCACATTATCAAAACCAACACCATAACAATTGTTATTATTCATTATCTAACCACCATGTAATAAACACAGTGCTGAGCATTTTGCATATATTATTTCTAACCTTTCCAACAACTCCATAGGGCAGGTATTACTCAGCTAGAATAAAATCCTCATTTATCCTTCTAGCCTAAAAATCCTTTTAGCCCACAAATCAACCATAGACCAGTGATATCATCAAAGTCTACAAGAGCTGAAATGTCATGATATCTCGAATACTTTCTGAAATTAAAAGACTTTCCCAACATAATAAAGTTGATCATTAGTAAGGCTACTTTTCTCAAGAAAGGTTTCTTTCAAGGGGTGCCTCTCAGCACTCAACTCAGAGATGTTCCCTCAGTCTGTTACTGAGATTTTTCTCTGGGCTTCAATTTTCCTCATCTGTAATACATTGGGATTGAACTAAATCATCTTAAATGTTCTTGTCCATTAACACCATTAAAAATGGGAACATCAAGTCCCAGAGATCTTAAATAGTTTGCCTAAATTTCCATGAGCAAAAAAATCTGGTTGCTGTTTCTTTGGACCAGTACATAAAGAGCACTTCTGACATTCTCATATCCAACTTCAATCAAAACCAGATAAGAAAATTAGTAATAAGGGTAAAGAAAAGTATTTGTCAGAATTTTCTAAAAACGTAATAGTGAATAGTTAAAGAAGAGAAGATTCTTTTTTCTTCTTCACAACAATATATTTCATCTTAAATGTACAACAATCACTGGATTACCGTAATTCAGACAGAAGTCTCTCTGACAGGCATCATTTTGAAATTTTGGTATTCTTCCCAAATATTATGTCACATAACAGGCATTGCCAGTCAAGTAAATCATGGGTTTTGAGGTATTCAAAGCAGAACATTAAGTATAAAGCAGAGTTTCCCAGTCTCAGCACTGTTGGCACTTGGCGGCAGATAATTTGTTATTGTGGGGGCTCTCCTGTGAATTATAGGATGTTTAGCGGCATCCCCCGCCTCTATCTACTAGATGCCCTCCTCTTGGGTTGTGATAATCAAAAATGTCTTCAGATCCTGTCAAATGTCCCCTGGGGAGCAAAATACCCCAAGTTGAGAATCACTGGTATAAAATAACATTCCTAAAGTGGCCTGCTGGCCAGTAGCTCACTGTATCTCTTCACAGACTCGCTTCTTCAGAATCCCATAGTTACCACAAAGCTCACCAAGGCATTGTCCAGCACGGTGTGCTTCTGTTCAACGTACCCAGGAGTGCTCTTCCCTAGGCGAGATCTACTATGACTTAAATGAGCAACGTGGCATAGAGCTCACTGGATATGAGAATTCTGCATGTCTCCACAGCTATGTAGGCTTTCGCTGGGAAAGCACCCTCCAGATGATCTCTAAGAACCACATGAAGACACACATTTACTGTCAAGGTGAAAGTCCTCACTTTGTTTCTTCACCATTCTTGATGCTGTTTGACTTCAGATTATTCATGACAACAAATGCTCTAGATACAGTACAGTCATGTGTCTCTTAACAATGGGGATATGTTCTGAGAAATGCACTGTCAGGTGATTTTGTCATTGTGTGAATATCATAGAGTGTACTTACACAAACCTAGATGGTATAATCTTCTACAAACCTAGACTATATGGTACTAGTCTTATGGGACCACCATCATATATGCAGTCCATCATTCACCAAAACGTCATTATGCGGCACATAACTGTAGTAAAACAGTTTCCATGATCTCCTACCCTGGTTCTTCAGTGACGCTGTAACGATGTTCTGGCTGGATAACAATTGCTGTAACAATGGTAACTTGCTGACACCATTATGACGTCGCAGAGTCACCAACTTTGCTGCCACCAGCTACCAAACAGCATAAGAGCAAGGAAAAGGGAAGTCCTGCAGGACGGGGCAGTAAAAACTCCAAGAGAGTGGAAAGGACAGTGGTGCTAATGCCCTAGCCTGGGCATGAGGTCAACAGTGCCCCAATTACCTCAGTAGAATTCCCTGGCCATCCCCATCCCCAAACCTTACCCAACAATAAATCACCCAGCAAAAGACCTGCTTTAATACATGTGTTTCCAATTGCATAAGAGTTTAAATAATCAAAGTTTTACATTCACAATATTTTATTGTTCCTCTAGCAAGATATATATGCCAAACACTGGAGGCACACACTAAATGAGTAATTTTGCCTAAACTGAGAACTTACACTTTCCTAGTTCAAAGCTTTTTAAATGAAAATTGATTTCTTCAGGGGCTCTTCATTGCCTTTGATAAACTTGAAAACATGCTGCTGATATTTAATATGCCCAAAGGATTTAGGGTGAACTCCTAGGATCTTAAATCCATCATAAATAAGAGACACCTAAAAGAACTAAATAAACTGAGTCAAGAAACAAACAAACAACAACAAAGACTTAGAGGAAATGTTTAAAAAACCATGTTATAAAGGAAAAATTGAACTTATCCTGAGAGACTCCAAAGGACAAATCAAGTCACCAAATGGTTGGAAATGATGGCCCAAGAGATCTTTTGGCTAGAAAAAGCACACCACAGTATGTATAATTTTACGTATTTTCAATCTTTACCTTTTTGATGGTTATTCTCATTTTCACTCTTTTGATCCACACTTACTAAATACTTTCTTGTCTATTTGTCGGCTATTTTATTTCTTTTATGAAGCACTTCTATTCGTGTCCTTCACTCATTCATTTTTTTCTATCAGGAATTCATCATTTCCTCATTGAATGCAAGAGCAGCTAAGATAGCTCTTTCCTCGCATTTGGGACTCTGTTGTCTAGCTTCTCAAGATAAGAGATCTTCAGTTTTCTGTCTTTACCTACCTGGCCTTTTGAGGCAATGTTTTCCTTCCAGCCTCTGTCCAGGGCATGAGGTGCCTTGCCAAAACGGAGAGCAGAGTAATTTGTTTCGAAATTTCCTTTGATGGGGGTATTCCGTGGTTCTTCGTAGGATCCTGTCAGAAAAACATTTAGCTTTGAACTTGGTTTTTAAAACACGATAATCACTTTGACTGGAGGTCAGCCCATGGCATCTTTCACAGTAGAACAAAATGTGGGGACACACGCCCTTGTCTCTCCAAAATCCTGGGGCAGCAGGGAGGAGGAAGGGCACAGGGCCCTATCCAGAGTACTGGGCTCATAAGTGAACACTGGATGAAAAACTACATCAATGGGTTCCAGAGCTAAATCAAATGGAAATGCCAAAATTAAAGGCCTGACCCCAACTGCAAGAGCAGCCGAAGAAATGCTTTATCTCTGCATGGAAAGAACATATTGCACATTTGAAGACTAGAAACAAACAGTTCAATAGTTTAAAGTGATAGAGCCAAGAGTGTCTGGCTTGCCTAGGCTATGATCATCCTGCCAGGACATCACTATGGGATGCTTGCTTTGCCAATCATCTATATTAACTACATGATCAAGAGCAAGTCATTTTGCCTCTCCCTCTTCCTATTGCAGAAAGCTGTTGTAAGGCTAATTTGAGATGACAGCATTGAAATACTTTCTGTTAAACTAATAGAAGAGTCAATGTTATTTGCATCATTATTATTCATATCTATTCTCTTCTCAAGATTAAGAAAGCTCTCAAGATTGAGTAAGCTCTCAAGATTGAGTTATCCTCTAAAACTAAGTATCTGCCATATCACTTACTTGATCATCAGAGGGCCCAAGGGACTATTGGAAAATCTTGGCCTTTTGCAAACATGGCAATCCCTTCTTCACTTGGACAAACATGGGCTTGATAAACTGTCATTAATGTTCCTAAAGCCCAGCACCTCGAGTCTGGGCTATCCAAAATCCAAGAAATACAGCTTACATCAAAGGGAAAGGGAGGATGAAAACAGGAAATAGCTGCAAAGTTTTAGAACTTGCTCTTTGTCCTGAGAAATGATGCATGCTTGTTTGCTGTGCTATTTGTAGATGAGTATAGAAGAGAAGAAGCCAGCTCTCAGAACCTCAAATGAGAAAGAAAAAGTTGCAGTTGGATGCTAGTACTGACAATTATCCTAGTTATCAACAAAGAGGTCGGGTCCACCAGCCTAAGGAAGCAGGTACCTCTTAGGTTTTGCTTACAGAGCATGTCTGCAAGGGAACCTCTCTGCATACATCCCCTTTAGGATGGGAGGATCTTCAGTATTCACTCTTCTGCAGCAAAAATGAAAGAAACCCTACCAGCAAAGCAGTGAGAAACCAATGTATCTTATTAATACACAGTATTAGCTGAAGTACAAAATAGACTTTCTTTTAAAGTCCTTTTGACCAATAATCTGTCTCTTAGAATTCTGAATTTCTCATGCAATGCCTTACAAAAAGAAAAAATCCAATAAATTAATTAAGGTTTAGAGAGGCCGGTCCCATGGCCAAGTGGTTAAGATCACACGCTTCACTTCGGCAGCCCAGGGTTTTGCCGGTTTGGATCCTGGGCGCGGACCTAGCACCGCTCGTCAGGCCATGCTGAGGCGGCGTCCCACATAGCAGAGCCAGAAGGATGTACAACAAGAATATACAACTATGTACTGGTGGGCTTTGGGGAGAAGAAGAAGGAAAAAAAAGGAAGATTGGCAATAGATGTTAGCTCAGGTGCCAATCTTTAAAAAAAAAATAATTAAGGTTTAGAAAGGAAAAAGGATCCCCTAATTTTAGCCAGAAATTCCTTTAAAACAATCAGCATAAAAATCACCCCTCAGTTATAATGGGATACAAAAGATTTATTTCAGAAGATGGCCATAACGGTGACCTTTCTTACAACCCTATATTTCCTACTCATTCAACCAGCGACTTTCAGTATAGATACTCATCATTACATGGGAATATCATTGGTTTAAAAATGATTTGGGCTCCCTTTCATTTCAGTCCTATAGTCTACGGGACTTCACTGTCTCATTGTGTCTAATGTCATTGAGAAAAGAGCACCGCTGTTAACATTTGTCTTAAATATGCTGATAAGATAATGATTTATGTGGCCTAGGATTTTGAAAGGGGAGAACAGAAATTAAATCACTAGATTATAGTGGCAAGTTTTGCTTCCGAAAGAGGGGAATAGAAAAGGCTGTGCCCCAACGAGAGTTACATATTTTAGAAAGAGAGCTTGTTGATCCTGTATCCTTGCCCACCACATCAGAGCTTTGGTGCCCCTTCCCCATCTCTACCCCAGAGCAGGGGCCAGACTGCCTCTCACTCTCATCTCGCCTTCCCTTTTCTTCTCTCTCTCCTCTCCTCTTTTTTTCTCTTTTCTCTCTCTCTGTCTTTCTCTCCTCCCCTCTCCTCTTCTTTCGTTTTATTTTCTCTTCCTCTCATCCTCTCCTGCTTTCATCTTTTTATTCTCCTATTTCACACCTGATTATTTCATTACTAACATATCTTTTTCCAGACTGTAGTAGACCAGGAATCTTACCAAAGACATTAAAACTCTATACTTTGCAAAACTTGTGTGTGTGTATATATATACACACACACACATATTCATACATACTTAGAATCTTTACAAAAGTAGTCATCTACCAATGCAATTCTCAGAAATGTATTTAAAATACAAATACTTTCTTTTGTTTTTGTTTCATTTCCCACCCCCACCGTGGAAATTTCTTATTCAAAGGGAAAAAAGACAAAAGCAGTTGACTAAATGTGACACTAGATATTTCTGTAAGACAAAGATTCTCTCAGGAATGAATATATCCTTTTTTAACATTTCAAAACTGGCCTGTGGCATTTCTATCACCTCACCTAGAATCAAGGTCTGGTTCTCCGGTGTTATTTTCAGCACAGATGCAGAAGCTTCTGGGAGCTCAGTGGTTGAATGCTCTTCCTCAAAGGAATAGGCTGCCAGATCCCTGGTTTGGCTTTGCCGCCATCTTGTGGTAACTGGGCTACTGGCAACGGGAACCTCAGCTGACAGCCTCTTCACAAAGTTGCTCTTAAAGTTAGAATATGTAGTATTAACAGCATCAAATACCTATTTAACAACAAAAAGAGCTGTAATTTATAGTGGCCTCAATGATGCAGAAGTAGAAATTCCTTAAAAGAGGATTAGAAATGACTCATCTAGTACAACACAAATAAAATATATAAGAGATTTTTAATTTTTGTGACCTGGGAGAATATTATATGTATATATATATTCACACTTAGAGCAGCAGCTTAGGGAGTAATTATGTTTATAGTTATTACTGTTACATATCAATATAAAGTATGAAGTTGAAATAACACTATATACTAAACACAAAATGTTTATATAAAATTATAAAATTTCGGGGGCCGGCCCCATGGCTAAGTGATTAAGTTCGCGCGCTCTGCTGCGGCGGCCCAGGGTTTCACTGGTTCAGATCCTGGGCACGGACATGGCACCGCTCATCAGGCCACACTGAGGCGGCATCCCACATGCCACAACTATAAGGACCCACAACTAAAATATACAACTATGTACTGGGGGAATTTGGAGAGAAAAAACTGAAAGAAAAAAAAATAGATTGGCAACAGTTGTTAGCTCAGGTGCCAATCCTTAAAAAAATAAATAAATAAAATTATAAAATTTCAAATCTGGAAATAGAGAGCAGTTTTGTAGTCCAACCCCTTCATTTCACAGATAGGAAAACTGAGGCCTAACTTGCTCACCATCTGTCCATCCCTCTGAGAAACACCAGGAGTTTGGTATTTACAGATCCTATAGCAGTGAGCCATGACACGCAGCTATTCAAAATTAAAATACAAGTGACAAACTGGAAATGAATTACTTTTTAATAAATTAAAGCCATGTTATATTAATATAAAGAGCTTTTAGAGAAATTTAAACAAGTTTACCAACACAAAAGAAAAATGGGCATAGAACATAAAAAAAGACAATTCACAAAAGAGACATATAAATGCCCCAAAAATATTCAACCTTACTAGTAATCAAAGAAATGCAAATTTAAAACAATAATGAGAACAAGCAATGACTTTTTTTTAATTATAATCTCCAGTGTTGAAGGTGCTAGAAGCAAACATTGGCATACACTGCTGGTGGAGTGTAAATTAGTCTCTGGAAATGAAAATTTGGCAATGTCTGTCGAAAGCCTTCAAATATGTGCATGACCTCTACTGACCCAGCAATGTCACCTCTATGAATTTAAGAAAGAAATTACAGATGCAAGGAAAGATGGACAAAACCAACCAGCATCTATTGAGTGCTCACCACGTACGAGCCCATATGTTAAAGGTTTTACACACATTCATGTTTAATCCTCAGAAACACCCTGTGAAGGAGGTCTGTTACTTAATCCTATTTTACCAATGAAGAAACTAAGATTTAGAGGTAAAGTGAATTGCCTAAGACCACAGGGTGGAAATGCCACACCCTAACTTCATCTGTCTGACTCCACAGTCCACACTCTCAACTGAGAACATGAGGGTGTCACTGCAGTATATGTTTATGGGGCAAAAAGATGGGGAGACTCAATGTTTACCACTGGAGAATTGACTACGTAAACTATGCGACATCCGTAAAACGGAATACTCTGCAGCCATTAGAAATGATAACATACATTAGAGAAATGCAAATCAAAACCACGATGAAGTACCACTTCATATGCACAAGGACGGCTATAATCGATCAATCAATTAATAACAAGTGTTGCTGAGGATGGGGAGAAATTGGAACCTTTGTACATTCACTGCTAATGGGAATGTAAGATGGTGTAACTGCTATGGAAAGCAGTTTGGCAGTTTCTCAAAAAGTTCAACCCAGAATTATAACATGACCCAGCAATTCCACGTCTAGGTATACACCCAAGAGAAATTAAAGCAAGTACTCAAACTCAAACAAATACAGGTACAGGATGTTCATAGTAGCACTATTCACAATAGGCAGAAGGTAGAAAGAACCCAAATGTCCATCAGTGGATAAATGCATAAACAAATTGTGGGGGATACATGTATATGTGTGTGTACATACATTATACATTATAAATATATAAATATTACTCAGCCATAACAAAGAATAAAGTACTGATAACATGCTGCAACGTGGAACATACCTCAAAAACATTATGCTAGGAGAAAGAAGCCAGACACATTTATATGAAATGCCCAGAATAGGTAAATCCATAAAGATAGAACACAGGTTGCTGGTTGCCAGGGATTGGGGGAAGGAGGAAATGGCGAGAAACTGCTTAATGGGTACAAAGCTTTCTTTGGGGTTGGTGAAAATGTTTTGGAACTAGATAGAGGTGGTGGTTGCACAACATTGTGAATGTACTTAATGCCACTGAATTGTTCACTTTGAAATGGTTAATTTTACGTTATGTGAATTTCATCTCAATAAAAAAACTAATAAGAAAATGATAACATAGGATAACATTCCATCAAACATTAAAATACTCACAATGTATTGCCAAGTGGAAAATGGAGACTCTGTGGAAGAGTATTCCAATATGGTCTCATTTCCTGTCTATAAATGAAAGATAGGAAGGAAACATGCCAGAATTTGGGGCAGTAAATATTCATTTCGTTGGGGTTTTTTTTCCCTTTTTCTCCCCAAAGCCCCCCGGTACATAGTTGTATATTCTTCATTGTGGGTCCTTCTAGTTGTGGCTTGTGGGACGCCGCCTCAGTATGGTTTGATGAGCAGTGCCATGTCCGCGCCCAGGATTCGAACCAACGAAACACTGGGCTGCCTGCAGCGGAGCGCACGAACTTAGCTACTCGGCCACAGGGCCAGCCCCAACATTGCGTTTTTTTAATAAGCATGTGTGAAGGTGATCACCCAGCCCGCCTGCAGCCACTGCATCTGATGAAGCGAGCTCTCTCTCCTCACTGCTGCTTTGTGTTTTCCTCCAGAAACTGCACCGAAGAGGACACCTTCCCCAGAAAAAGGGAAGTCAGGAGCCCGAGACCTCAGCTGTTGTAATCAGTGTTGTTAGGGGTCTTCTTATTTTTTTTTTTGCCTTTTAGATGTTCTGCTGTTATTCTTGGTTTTTCAGTAGGAAGGGGAAAGCTGGAAAGAGGGAACGATAGAGCCCTGGAAATGTAAAGCAGGCGTCTCGAACTCTGAAGCCCAGACAGGGGAGCAGAAGGGACGGTGATGAGAGAAGCAGGCCTGGAGGGAGAAACGTGGCCCACTCTGACTTCCATCCTCCCACTTTTCGGTTTCTCTCCTCCAAGGAAACCTGCAATGCCAGTTCAATGGCTGGGGAGACTGGGCCCCAGACAGAGGGTGGTGGGAATCTCTCTAAAACTGTAATGCTCATGTTTCAGCCTCAGCAAGAAAGAGGGTCACAGGAGCATGTTGTCCCATGTAATAAGAGAAGTTAGAAATTCAAACTTCTCATATCAATTTCCCCACTTTGTAAAGTTTTCAACTAATTCAGATTTTTTTTAGAACACTGTAGCAGAGCATGTCTGTGGGCCACATTCAGGCTATAGGCTATGTCTGCGTCCTCTGCAGCACTAGATAAGTAGCCCTCACCTTTCTAGGGAGCAAGAAAAGGAGGAGCCACCATATCTGAATATACATTTGATTTGCAACAAACATGAAAGAGACACTTGCTCAAAGTTTTCCTTGGAGTCTCAAATTTAAACATACAGTAATAAAAAAAATAATCCTAAGTTTAAAAGAAGGAAAATAAAGAAGAATTCAAAATGTCAGCTAAGAAAAATGATCGAAAAATTTCACATTGACAATCTCACATTGCCTTGGCAGGTCTCTGTTTCTCTGGCTCATCTATTGTCACTCTCTCCATACTGTTTCCCCCACTGAGATGTTCTTTCACGATTCTCTGCCAGGGTAACTTCTAGCCTATCTCCATGGCTAGGATCAGCCACCAATTCCTTCAAGAAGATGTCTCTGACATTCTCTTCTTCTCCATTCTAAACTGGGTTAGGCAACCCGTGGTAGGCTAAATAACTGTGGTGGTGAATGTTATGTGTCAACTTGACTGGGCTAAGGGACGCCCAGATAGCTGGTAAAACATTGTTTCTGGATGTGTCTGTGAAGGTGTTTCTGGAAGAGATTAGCATTTGATTCAAGAGACTGAGTAAAGAGATCCTCCCTCACCAGCATGGGTGGGCATCATCCAATCCATTGGGGGCCCAAATGGAACAAAAAGACAAAGGAAGGGTGCATTCTCCCTCTTCTTGAACTGGGCTGTCCCTCTCTTCCTACCTCAGACATCGGAGCTCCTGGTTCTCAGATCTTCAGACTCCTTGACTTACATCAGCAGCCCCCCAGTTCTCAGGCCTTTGAACTCCAACTGAATTACACCACCAGCTTTCCTCGTTCTCCAGCTTGCAGATGGAAGATTACGGGATTTAGCTTCCATAATCTCATAGGCCTCTTGTATACATCTATATATATCCCATTGGTTCTGTTTCTCTAGAGAATCCTAAGTGATACAATAATGGTCCCCTAAAATAAATCCAGATCCTAATCCCTGGGACCTGTGAATGCTACTTTATATGGCAAAGGGGCTTTGCAGATGTGATTAAATTAAGGACCTGGAGATGGGGAGATTATCCTGGATTATCTGAGCAGCCTGTAAATGCAATCACATGTCTTTCTAGAGGGAGGCAGAGGGAGATCTGACTACACAGAAGAGGAGAAGGTAACGTGACCACAGAGGCAGAAACTGGGGTGATGCACAAGCCAAGAAATGCTGGCTGTCACCAGAAACTAGAAGAGACAAGGACTGGATTCTCCCCTGCAGCCTGTGCAGGAAGCAAGGCCCTGCTGACTCCTTGGCTTTGTCCAGTGAGACTGATTTCGGACCTTTGGCGTCCGTAACTGTAAGAGAATAAATGTGTGTTGTTTTAAACCACCAAGTTTGTGGTAATTTGTTACATCAGTCGTTGGAAAATAATAGCCCTCTGTGTGCTTCCATAGCTCACGGTGTGTGCTTCCAATAGAGCACTATCCCATTTTATTGGTAACAACAACATTTATCAAGTGCTCAATATGTGCTAAGCATTGGGATAAATGCA